GGCCCAGGAGCCAGGATCTAAGGGCTTAAAATACCCTAGGGAGTTCCTTTTAGGTAGGACCTAGTATATTAGTAATTATTTAATGATAATGATATTTACTGAGTCCCTACCTCCTATCAGCAACTATCTTATGCACCTTACACTCTGGCTCTTACCTCACACTGAAACTGCTTCACTTCAATAATCACTGAATGAAGCATTTTACATTCTGACCATCCATAGTCTCTTGTTCTTCCACCTTCCATGTTCATCTGTTTCCAGTATGACTTTTCTTTGACTTCATCAGGATTTCTTATCCACTGACACCTCTCCCTTTGCCCTATCCATAACCTCCTCCTATCTTCACCACCTTCTTCCATATTCAGATGGTCCATGGCTCATCTCTCAATAACATTCTGGCTAGTTTTCTAATTTTCCTACACCTGTATCTTTCTGTCATATCCATCTGACAAAACCCTAGTGAATGCAAATATCCATTTACTCTATCTCTGTAACTGAGAGATGATGGAGAATATCGTTCAACTGGGCTCTCACCACATCAGTATTCCAATTATGTTTATCTGGTCACTCTGCTCTCCCACTCTCTTCAGTGATACATCAGAACTTCTCCACTCTTTTCAGTTTTCCAGTCTCACATCTCCCAACTCTACTTTCAGTTGATGAACTCACCCCTTATTTCACAAGAAAGTAGAAGCATCCAGTGGGAACTTCCTCAGCTTCCCACCACCAAACCAACATGCGGACCTGCATCTGCATCCATGCTCTTCCTGTGTTCTCAGTCCTTTACTTATTCTTCTCCTTTAGAGCTAAACTTCTGAAACAGATGTTTGCATGTGCTCTCTTCATTTCCTTACCTGTTACTCAGTCCTTGATCCACGTCAAACTGCATTCTGTCCACATAATGACCCCAGAACGGCATTTGCTGAAGCAATGAAAGACCACCTTGTGGGCATTCTTCAGTCCTCATCTTACTCTCTGGTTAACTCTCCCTGGACTTCCAGTGAAGGTGTCCTTCAGACTCAGCCCTTGGCTCCTGTTTTTCCCCTACTCTACAGTCTGAACTTTCTTCCTAAATGACTTCATCCATTTGATAGCTTCAGTTATAGATTACAAGCAAGTGACTCCCAAGTTTTATCGACAGTTCAGACTTTCATCTGGTCTCCGAGTTGTACTCATTTTGAATTTCCACTGGAGTATCACAGAAGCTCCTCAGAAACCTAAACATCATCCACAACACCTTTCTCTCCCTCAGCCTTCAACTCTCAAACATCATTTTCAAGTCATTACCAACTCCAGTAGATTTTACCACCTAAATATTTCTTGAAACTATTTTCTTCCATCTCTGTTGTCAGAGCCCTAGTCTAATACATCATCATCTTTTTAAAATTAAACTTTAAAAAAATTTTTGAGATAATTGTAGACTCACATGTGTTTTAAAAAATAATAGAGATAGATCCTGTGTACCCTTTACCCAGTTTCCATTGGTAACATCTTGCAAAACTATAGTACAATTATCAGAACCAGGATATTGACATTGATATTGTCAAGATAGAGAACATTATCATCACTGCATGGATGCTTCCTGCTGTCCTTTTTTAAAAAAAAAATTTTATTTTTTAGAGCAGTTTTAGGTTTAGAACAGAAGGTACAGAGATTTTCCATACACCTCCTCCCTCTACACATGCATAGCCTCCCCCATTATCAACATCCCCCCCCAGAGTTACATTTGTTACAATTGATATACCTACACTGACACATTATAATCATCCAAAGTGCTTAGTTTACGTTAGGGTTCATACTTGGTGTTTGTATTCAACAGGTTTAGACAAATGTATAATGACATTTACCCGCCATTATAGTATCATACACAGTATTTTCACTGCCCTAAAAATCCTCTGTGCTCTGCCTTGTAACCTTCCCTCCCCCAACCCCTGTCAACCACTGATCTTTTTGCTGTCTCCATAGTTTTACCTTTTCCAGAATGTCATATAGTTGGAATCATACAGTATGTAGGCTTTTCAGATTGGCTTCTTTCACTTAGTAATATGCATTTAGGGTTCTTCCATGTCTTTTCATGGCTTAATAGCTCATTCCTTTTTAGTGCTGAATAATATTCCATTGCCTGGATGTATCACAGTTTATTATGCCTTCACCTACTGAAGGACATCTTATCACACAGTCAGTTGGCCACACACTTAGTGTTTTCTTCTGACACGCTTTCTCATATTTGATAATATGGATAGGCTGAGAATTTTCCAAATCTTTAATTTCTGCTTCCCTTTTGCTTAACAATTCTGTCTTTTAGTTATTTCTTTTTTCATGTTGTGCTATAAGCAGTCAGAAGGAGCCAAGTCGTACCTTCAACATTTTGCTTAGAAATAGCTTCAGCTAAATATCCAGTTTCGTCACTTGCATGTTCTACCTTCCATGAAACACCACAACATGAACACAATTCAGCCAAGTTCTTTGCCACTTTATAACAAGGATTGCCTTTCCTCCAGTTTCCTTCCAATAACATGTTTCTTATTTCTATCTGAGACCTCATCAAAATGGCCTTTACTGTCCATATTTCTACCAACATTCTGTTTAGGATTACTTAGGTATTCTCCAAGAAGATTGAGCCTATCTCTACAGCTCTTTCCTTTCCGAGCTTTCAACAGAATTTTCCTTAACAGTCCATTCACAGCAATGTAGACTTTTTCTAGCATGTGCCTCAGACCTCTTCCAGCCTCTACCCATTAACTAGTTCTAAAACTGCTTACACATTTTTAGGTATTTGTTACAGTAGAACCTCACTTCTCAGTGACAATTTTTTATCTGTTCAGCCTACTATAACAGAATACCATAGACTGGGTGGCTTAAACAACAAACATTTCTTTCTCACAGTTCTCAAGGCTGGGAAGTCCAAGATCAAGGTGCTGGCAGACTCAGTGTCTGGTGAGAACCTACTTCCTGGTTCATAGATGGCTGTGTTCTTGCTCCTAATACCGTGGCACTGGGGTTAGGATTTCAACATATAAATTTTGTGGGGATGTAAACATTTACTCTTCAGCACAGTAGTATTTTTTTAAAAAGTTCTTATGTAAAATATACTTATTAAATAAACACTGTAACAACAATAACAGGGAACAAGTATTTTAAAGAACTCATACTCTTACCTTCATCCTTACAAATCTATTTGGTGATCTTTAGTCTAATTATGTTCTAGGGACTCAGCTACTATTCAGTCTTCACTTTCCTATGATCATTAACTAGTTATCTCTGTTTAAAATTTTAAAAATTTTATATTGGTAAAGATGTATTTCATGGTATGGTTCAGGCTTAAGGAAGAAAGGCATTACTTCATTAATTAAAAGGAAATGAGCACACTCAAAAATGTAAACTTGTTGACATGTCACTGATCCAAAATTTTGAAAACTTTTCTTCGCATTATACTTGGCAATACACATTGTTACTTCACATTACTTATCCACTCCCCAACTCACCCTTTTCCTGCAAAAAAAAGCAAGCAAACAAACAGCCTGTAGGCATGATCCTATACGTAGGCAGAAGAAAAAGATCTATAGAAAGGAAGAGATTAAGGATGATTGAGCAGGGTTCTGAAGATTGTGAGTGAAGGTACACCAAGATCAGCACAGGAGTAAGCCCTGCCAAGGAGGATAGAAGACATTTTTCCCAGAGGCCAGAGTAAGTGAAGAAAAAGTAGGTGAAGATACAGAGCAATTTTTACATAGAAAGGAAGGACACTAAAGGAACTCATTTACTTAAGGAAAGCGGAATGAGGCCTTCTGAGGGTGAAGTTTGATTCCTCCAACCAGCACTGTGATCAAATGTGGAGAAGAGAGTGCTGAAAAGTTCTCCAGAGGGGCTAGGACTATGGAGGTGGGAGTATCAGTTACTTATACTTCTGTTGCTGCCCAAATGAATGTTTATCCTAAAAGGGACAGATATTTTGAGGTACATAAAGCTACATGGGGTCCAGAGATCCAGATGTGTCAATTTTCACTTAGTAAAAAGTAAAAATTGCCTAAAACTTTACCTCTGAGGTCTTCAAAGACAAAATGTAGCTCTGTCAGTTCACTCATCCTCCTGCCCTCCCTCCCAAGCCTCCCATGATATTTCTCTCCTTCCTTCCTCTCTCCCTCCCTCCCTCAGTTCCTTCCTTCCTTCCTCCCTCTCGCAGTTCCTTCCTTCCTTCCTTCCTTCCTTCTTTCCTTCCTTCCTTCCTCCCTCCCTCCCTCCCTTCTTCCTTCCTTCCATCTACTTATTCTTCTTATACTTTGAAGAAAACAATAAGGCCTCTTGCTCTTTGCCCTAGAAGGAAAAATGGAAACAAACAAAACATAAAACTTTGGGAAAATCCAACATTTTATTTTATTTTTTTTGTGAGGAAGATCAGCCCTGAGCTAACATCCATGCTAATCCTCTTTTTTGCTGAGGAAGAACGGCTCTGAGCTAACATCTATTGCCAATCCTCCTCCTTTTTTTTCCCCACAGCCCCAGTAGATAGTCGTATGTCATAGTTGCACATCCTTCTAGTTGCTGTATGTGGGACGCGGCCTCAGCATGGCTGGAGAAGCGGTGCGTCGGTGTGTGCCCGGGATCCGAACCCGGGCCGCCAGTAGCGGAGCACGCGCACTTAACCGCTAAGCCACGGGGCCGGCCTGGGAAAAATCCAACATTAATCCATACTATAATGAACACAGAATTTCATGTTATGAGTTATAATGAAACTCCAGTATTTTCTTTATTTTTCTAAGTCACCTCCTACCTCCATGTTATAACAGCTAGTGGAAGAGCCAGAAAATGCTTTGAAAATCCCAAATGCAAACAAGTATGCAAATATAAGAGAAAAAGCAGACTAATTAGTTGATACTGATTTAATGATATAGCTTTAGAGCAAGCTTTCTGTATAGAAATTTTAGAAATTAAAGCCACAGCTTTTGAGGTATTCTCAATGTATAAAATTATATATTTACGTATGTATTTATTTATTTTAGGCTTTTAAAACCAAGGATGGATATCTTGTAGTTGGAGCAGGAAATAACCAACAGTTTGCTACTGTGTGCAAGGTAATCTGTAATCATTGGGATGGGTGAATGATATATGCAACAACTTATTTTGTACAAAGCCAGGAAAGTTCAACTTTGTTCAGAACAATGTTGCTAAATCTATAAACAACTCAAGACCCCTTGTATTTAGTACTTAAAATACGCCGTTTTCATACTTACAAATACTAAGAACAAGGTCTGAATTAGCACTCTGTATTTTTTTTGTTGTTGGGATATCTGGCTATATTTTGAAATGAAGAATCATAGTAGCCTCAATTATCCTAAAACATGGCCTGTCTACCAGTCCAAACACAAGGGGAACGAAAACAATTCATTTTAAAGGTATTTTTAACACTAGGATGTTTTTCTTTTCTCTTTTCTTTTCTTTTTCTTTTTTTTCTTTTCCTTTCCCTTCTTTTCTTTCTTTTTTTTTTTTTCTCTTTCTCTCTCTCTCTTTTTGTTTTTTAACAACATGAGATCTAATTAGGGCCAAATACAGTTACTCTACTACTAAATTTTTTGTATTTACCACTAGGAAATTAAATTTTTTTTTCACATTAGCCTTTGTTCAATGAGTACCTTTCTGCAAAATCCATTTTTTTTGTGAGGAAGATCAGCCCTGAGCTAACATCCATGCCCATCTTCCTCCACTTTATGTGGGACGCCACCACAGCATGGCCTGACAAGTGGTGCATCGGTGCGCGCCCGGGATCTGAATCCGGGCCCCCAGCAGCGAAGCGCGCGCACTTAACCACTACACCACAGGGCCGGCCCCATCAAAATCCAGTTTATAAGGTTTTAGCAATTAAGGTTATATTAAAAAATGTTGCTCCTCAATAAGGCCTTAAAAAAAGGCCTTGGAATCACTTAAAAATAATTTTATGTTGAAGATATTCTAAATTTTTAACATTGCTTAGGTTTTTCTTTTTATTTGATGCTTTTACTTACTATTTATCTAGACTTTTGGTCTTTTCTTTTTATTTGAGGCTTTACGTTTCAGTTTGCTTTTTCCATTTCTAATCCCAGGAATATAATCTAGTTGTTAAAAAATATATTTAAGTTTTTATTTTTATTTTTCTTGCAGGTAGGGAAAGGCCTCACCTACTGAGGATTTTTTTCTGATTGGGAGAGGTTCATATTTTTTTGTACTAACCATACCACCATGAGTTTTCAGTTTTATTAAAGATGCCTGCGAATTCCTCAGAGGAACCTTATTTATTGCAGTTAACTTATTATGTACAAAAATTATTTATTACTGTGCCTCTTTTGTACGAGAGGTTAACGAGCAGAGCTAAAAACCACAGCAAAGGGGTGGGAAGTCCCACGGAGAAGGTGACAAATGGAGATGGTTCTGATTGCAGGAAGGGCTGGAACATCTGAGGTGGGAAGGAAGGGAGCTTTTATAATGGTGACTCTGAGTAAGTGTAGAGAAATTGATTCAAACATTTGATCTGGGATCAAAGAATCTTTATTATGAACGGTCAATGTTAAAAATATGAAACATACGGAAGCTGTTGCCTGTGAAGTCATTTGCCTACTCGAGCTGCAGAGATGTAAAAGCCAGTTCATTGCTATAAATGAGTACAGATTTTCTTCCTGGGCCATATGTTTTGGAGTTTTCTCTCTCCAGAAAGGGGGTGAGGGTGGGGGGAGAAATTACTGGTTGACTTATTCTTCACTGTTGAAAATAACTGTACTGAATTCTTTTTATTTTTGATTCATTACTGCTGATCAATTTGAAACTTTTGAACTTCCTCATAAATATCCATAAGAACATTTTTTGAAAAAGACTTTTATTTGAAAGCAGACTATTTGCTGTAAGTTTTAGTACGAAAATATGACTTATTGTTATGGTGTGTTATGACACATTTGATAGGGCCTTGGAGAATGGCATAGTTGACCTTCTCTTTTCCATATGTGAATTAGGAATGATAATCCTTGTTATGAGCCATTAAGACAATGTCTATAAAGCTCTTTGAAATCCTCAGAAGAAAAGTTTTATGTGTATAGGATTTTAATGTTATTTACATCATTTACTAGGCATTTTGAGAAAACATTGCAATCTGATTGACTTTTTCAACCTTCATAATTATATCCTTACATGTAAACTTGTCCTAGAAACCTTTTCACCTAAGAAAAATCATGTTTCCTTGTTTTGATCCAAGTTTCTCCCCACTCTCATACATACAGTAGTGAGTGTCTTCTAAGTATTTTTTATTCAGATTTATCTATTACTGAGGAGCTTGTCATTCAAACTGGCCTTATGGAAGATGAGGTACCCAGTTTTTGACAGTGAGCCCATCAAAATTGTTCTTCTGCCAAGTAAGGTCCATCATGAAAGACAGGGCAACTCTGCCTCCTGAGGAGAAATATAGCAGTATTGTCTGTGATGAATGAGTAGAATTTACTTAGGCCTAATCTCTTTCCAAAATAGAATTTGATATACTGTTTGACTAATGCTTCTTGGGGAGGGGTCCTATTAGGGACAATATTTATTGTCAGGGATTAGAGTGAGAGCAAGAGCTTTGAGTTCAAGTCTTGGAGTTCAGAAAATCTTCCTGCATATAAAGTGAACCTTTGGCTTATAACAAATCCTATTTTATGTCCCTTAACATGATACAGAAGAGTAGGGAACATGAGCATATGTAAGCTATTTTAAGCTGATTGATGCCAACACTAATGGGTATTCCTATTTGAAGTACATTGACGTCCATTTAAAAGTCACTTAGACTGAAAGTTTCTTTCATTGGAGGCATTGGTTCTCAACTTTAGCATGCATAGGAAATCTCCTTGAGCCCCATTCCCCAAAATTTTGACTTAGTATGTCTGAAGTGGGGCACAGGAAACTTCAAGTTTAATAAGCATTATAGTTGATTTTGGAGCAGGTGGTCTGAGGATATTATAGCATAATTCTAAGGCACGTTGTGAGTCTTGAAACCCGTCAGGTGACCTCTGGTAAGGTACTTAATCTTTGCTATGCATCTGTGTCCTCATGATAAAATGAAGATTATAATACACGACTATACTAATATATAACTTCTGGGGCTTTTTAAGAGTTAGATTAGATAAGTAAAATACTCAGTCCAGTCCTGGGTCACGGTATGTACTTAATAAATGGCCTCTATAGAAATTAGTGTGGGGATTCTGTTTCTGGGTGAGATTCTGTTTCTGGTTTCTCCCTATCTCTTCCACCTAACACAATGATAAAATCTGGGCAGAATGCACAGAGCATCTATAAGATGATTCTGAAAAGTAAGTTGTAGCAGGAGAATTGAGGAAGAACACCAGAATTTTAAGTACCTCTAAACTGGGAGTAAGTTTACCAGTTTTTCCCTCCAGTTATTCCTTTACGTGAACACAGTGGAGCCTGAAACCTGCAAGTGGGCACCAGGGAACAGAGCTGAGCTCCAGGAGACGCCCTTCATTCTTGGCACGAGGAGCAGGAAAGTGAGCTCTGATGTCCGAGAGAGCGTGGAAATCCTCTGTTTTTTCCTCTTCTCCATTTCCTTGTGCCCTAGCCTCCCAAAATCCTGTAGTGGCAGCAGCAGATGAGCAGAAGCCAAAACTCTGAGGAAGGAGAACTTTCCTCTTCATCTCTGAGCTGTGATCCTGAAAGAGAGGGGTGAATCCTTGTTGCTTTTTTCTCCGTCCTCCAGCTGCTTGGCCTCTGCCTGAAAGTATGCTGGGGAGTGGGGTAACTAAAGGGGAGCCCCAGGGAACTAGAAAGAGATTGCAGAAAGGGAAGAGCTTGAAAAATGATCCTTGAAGTTGTTTGTGAACCCATGTTCACCCCTGAGCTGCACATACACTGACCTGATCCTAATCAACACACCAAAGATGCTGAGAACTGAGTGAACAAATAGACAACTGTCCAGGTGGCAGCATGACCATTAAGTAGGGCACATGTGGGACAGATCTGAATAGCACTGCAAAGTCTCTGGAAACTGAACCAGCACTAGAACCAAAGCACACAGAAGGTGGGTTGGGACTTGCAGCCTGGACCTAACTAGGTCAACTGCTTGCTAAAACAATAACAACAAAAATTTTCTGTAGGATTTAAACAAGACCCAGAGGTTCATAACATAATATTCAAAATGTCTAGGATACAATCCAAAATTACTCAGCATATGAAGAACTAGAACTTGCATGAGAAAAGACATGAGAAAAGACAATCAATAAATGCCAATGCCAAAATGACACAGATGTCGGAATTAACTCACAAAGACTTTAAAACAGCTATTATAAAAATGCTCCAACAAGCATCACAGACACTGTTGAAATAAATGGAAAAGTAGAAATGTCCAGCAAAGAAATAGAAGATATGAAGAAGAACCAAATGGAAATTTTTGAACTGAAAAATACAACAACCAAATACAAAAACACCTCTCTGGATGAGCTCAATAGCACAACAGAGATGCCACAGCAAACAGGGCACTTGAAGATAGATAAATAGAAATTATTCAATATGAACAAAAGAGAGAAAAAAAAATAGTTCCCTCCCCCAAAATAAAAGAATTAAGAACAGATCTTCAGGGACCTGTGGAACAATAACAAAAAGTCTAACATTTATGTCATTGTAATCTCAGAAGGAGTGGAGAAAGAGTACATGATGAAAAAATATTTGAAGAAATAATGGGTGAAAACTTCCCAAATTTGGTGAAAGATAAAAACCTACAAATTTAATAATTTCAGCAAACCCCAAGTAGGATAAACCCAAATAAATCCATGCCTAGACATATCAAAACTTTACTGCTGAAATCTACAGACCAAGAAAAAATTTTGATCACACCCAGAGAAAAATGATGTATTACCTATGGGGGAACTCGGACTCAGTTGTCTGCGGATTTCTTGTCAGAATTTGCACAGCACAGAGCAAAGTGGCACAATATGTTTAAAGGGCTGAAAGGAAAGAATTGTCAACCCAGAATTTGATATCCAGTAGAAATATACTTAAGAAATGAAAGTTAGATAGTCTCCCTTCCTTCCTCCCTCCCTCTTTCCCATCCTTCTTAGTAAACACATGGTTTATTATTTATTTTGAGGAAAATAGTACCTAGTTGGAATACTTCACATTTATTTAGTGCTTAATATGTGAAGCACATTCACTGATATTGTTTCATTTTGTCCTGGGCAACACTCTTTTTGAAGAACCTAAAGAATGGTTATGATCATGGCATTTGAAGCAGTCTCTGTACAAACATTTTGAATGGTGGCCTGGGTGAAAACAGAAGGATAATTACTTTGACCCACTGTTTCACACCAACTCTCAAAGAGAAAAGAGATCCAATAAGTCAGATGCAGAAAAGGACACGTGAGGGCGTTCCAGTTACCATTGAGTGCGATCACTGAGTAGTTTTTTAATGTAGATTCTAGTGTATTCTGGGTGAGGCCAGATTTATAAATTTAACCTGTGATTTAGTGAAGGCACTTGCTTTTTCTTGAAATGACTTATTCACTCTTAGGGAGGAAGGGTGGATTTCAATTCCTGGACAAGCCTTGAGGCCAATTTTGGGATCAGGTGTGGTGACAGGGAGGTTTTTAGAAAAAGCACTGTATATGGTGTCACTTTTTAAAATCTGGGAGAGTAATGCTGTCTTTATTATTCCTAAAGGAAATGAATAAGTGAAACATGTGAGAGAGAAATCACACCACTGAGATGCTCTCTTTGCTCCAGGGAATCTTCTCCACTTCTCTCTTCTTTCTAAGATGATTAATGGATTGGTTTTATTTAAACTGTGGGAAACAAATGAAACCATTAAATGTTTATATTTAAAGCAAATACATTAGTAGAGGTAGTGAAGCTTTCTGTAGGCCACATGGCCCACCCCCAGCCCATAAATGCTCCTTCTGACTTTCCAACACAACTGCCAAACACTGCCTCCACACATTCTTTTATAACTTCTTTTCCATTCCAAATCCACTTGGTACGTTCATTACGGTCTTGTTAAAATTGCACGATGTCCAAAAGGGACTTGCAAGATAGATTTTCCCTTTATTGAGGAGGAGCAAAAGAGGAAGGATATAAAAGCATTTCTGTTTGTTATTCCTTCAGGGAGAGATATTAAAGAAAAATAGTGACACTTCTGAAGGAAGAATATCTTTTAATTTGACATTGTTTTAATGGTGAGCATTTGGGGCAAATGTATATGCTTTCCCGTTATTTTAGCAACTTGTACAACATCCTGGATAGGACTACTGGGACAGATAATATTATTTTATTTACATGTGGAACAAATAAGTGAATATACCTACAAGATATATGTTGATTATGAGCTTCATATAAGTGCAGACATGCACTTACGATATTGGTTCTCAGAATTAGGTCAGTTGTATCTGATTTTGTATTTCTCTCTCTACTCTCTCTAGGTTAAGACTTATTGTGAGAATCTGATAACTCTTTTCCTATGTTCTTATGTATGGGTACAAGACATTATGGGGGTCTTATAACTCTTTTCTGTGCTTCCATATGTAGGCATATGCTTAAATGTAGTAAAAACTTCTTATAAATGACAAACCCAGTCACCAGCATGACCCATCCTAATTGCACGATCCTTCCCTCTATATCTCATTGTTGAGAAGTTTAAAGACAAAAAAGGAATGGTTTCAGGGGGGAATGGTGGGCCCTGAACACTGGCACCCACAGGCGAGTATAGGAAAAACTTGTGAATTAGACTTTAAAATTATTTTTCCCTTTTAGATCTTGAATTTGCCTGAACTGATTGATGACTCCAAGTATAAAACTAACCACCTTCGGGTACAGAATAGAAAAGAGCTTATTAAAATACTATCTGCACGGTAAGTTTGGATCTACTATTTGTACGTTTAAGGATTAATATGTAATTCTCTTCCATTTCACAAAATTCATTAGTGGAAAGATATTTTTATTAAAAAAATTTTTTATTGAATAAATTTGACATGTAACATTGTATAAGTTTAAGGAGTATAGTGTGTTACTTTGATACATTTATATATTGTAATATGATTGCCAATGTAGGGATATTTATCACATTACATATAGTACAATATTATTGTCTATATGCATTATACTGTGCATTAGATTTCTATGGCTTATTTACTACTTGTTACAAGTTTGTACCTTTAAACACCATCACTGTTATCCCACCTCCCCCATCCCCTGGTAACCACTATTTTACTCTCCCTTTTTTACAGGTGTAACTTTTTTAGGTTCCATATATAAGTGATATCATACAGTACTTGTCTTTCTCTGTCTGACTTATTCTGCTTAGCATAATGCTGAAAGTGATCCATGTTGTCACAAATGGGAGCATATCCTCCTTTTTCATGGCTGAATAATATTCCATTATGTATATGTACCACATCTTTTTTATCCATTCATCTGTTGATGGGAATTTGGGTTGTTTCCATATCTTTGTTATTGTGAATAATGCTGTGATAAACATGAGAGTGTATATATCTTGTCGAAATCCTGTTTTCATTTCCTTCGGGTACATAGCCAGAAGTGGAATTGCTAATTGGATTGTATGGTAGAGCTATTTTTAATTTTTTGAGGAACTTGCATATTGTTTTCCATAGTGGTTGGACAAATTTACATTCCCACCAACAGTGCACAAGGGTTCCTTTTCCTCCACATCCTTGCCAGTAGTTGTTATCTCGTCTTCTTGATGATAGCCATTCTAACAGGTGTGAGGTGATATCTCATTGTAGTTTTGATTTGTATTTCCCTGATGATTAGTGATATTGAGTGCCTTTTCAAGTACCTCTTGGCCATTTGTATGTTTTCTTTGGAAAACCGTCTTTTCAGTTCCTCTGCCCATTTTATAATCAGACTGTTTTGGTTTTTTGCTATTGAGTTGTATGAGTTCTTTATATATTTTGGATATTGACCCCTTATTCAATGGATGATTTTCAAATATTTTTTTCCATTCACGAGGTTGCCTTTTCATTTTGTTGTTTGTTTCTTTTGCTGTTCAGAAGCTTTTGAGTTTGATGTAGTTCCATTTGTTGATTTTTGCTTTTGTTGTTTGTGCTCTTGGCATCATATTAAAAAAAATTATTGCCAAGACCCATCTTGATGAGCTTCATCCCTACATTTTCTTCCAGGTGTTTAATGGTATTAGGTCTCATGTTTAAGTCTTTGACCCTATCTCACACCACTCACAAAAATTAACTCAAAAGATATTTTAAAGCTGTGTTTTTTCTTGGAAGGCATTTTATATGTCTTAGTAAGTACTGTCAAAACAATGATATATGGGCCGGCCCCATGGCTTACCGGTTAAGTGCTCGCGCTCCTCTGCTGGCGCCCCGGGTTCGGATCCCAGGCGCGCACCGACGCACCACTTCTCCGGCCATGCTGAGGCCGCGTCCCACATACAGCAACTAGAAGGATGTGCAGCTATGATGTACAACTATCTACTGGGGCTTTAAGGGGAAAAAAATAAATAAAATCTTTAAAAAAAAAAAAAACAATGATATAAATAAAAAAGTCACAGTGACTTGAATGAAGTTGCTTTTCTATGGCTTGTAAGTGTTTGGGTTTAGTCTATCATAAATACCACTACAACAATAATAATAACAATAATAATTTAAAATTATTTTTTACCTTTCCTGTATTAAATGCTCTGTATACATGATCTCATTTAACCCTTACAATCATCCTATGGGTAAGTTCTATTATTCCCATTTTACAGATAAAGAAACTGAGACAAAGAGAGGTTAAGTCAAGAGTTTGTTGGCTTTTCTGAGCCCCTCCTATGAAGTTTGTCATGATGATGTTTTGAAAATGCCAGATTCAGTTATGGGTCATAAAAGATTAATGTTAATCAATTAGAATATTTGATTTCCAAATTATTCCATTCATGTCAAATTATGCTTTTGTTAAAGCCGCTACCAATTTTTCAAGTTTGCCTCAGAAAAAGATCATAATTCTTACTCTTTCCTATCAGTTTCACTTTTGTTTACATCTAAAGTTCTCAAGCTATAGACATAGGCTTTGTGGTTTTTGCAGATCTAACTGCCCACATGAGTTGTTCTTCACTATGGAACATTTGCTCTCATCATGCCAATAAATTAAGCACTTTTGTTCAAATACCATATCTTGTCCTTTGAAAAGGCCCTTGTGTTTCTATGTAGTATATATCAAAGTTCTTAGAAAATAAAATTCTGCTAATGTTATTTTTATTTCTGTCCTCTTTGTATTTGGGGATCTCTACATGAGTCAACATTCATTACCTGTTTGCTCTTTCCTGGATTTTAAGCAGTTCTCTACGCTGCCTGTATCTCCTCCATGTGCCAAATGCTCTTCAATCAATGGGGGCTCTGTGTGTTAAACTGATATGTAGAGAATAGGGGAACAGGAATTGTGCTCCCCTTTCCTGGTCATTAGTTAAATATAACTCTGGTTCTACCACAAAGCCCGAGAGCACTCAGTCATTAACCTTTCTTCACATGAGAATTGGCCATTTATTTCTGCTTTTTGCCTCTTTGCCTCTCCAGCAGTTTTTAATTCATTTAATTCATTGATATGACTTTTTCCTTTCACACCATGGTTACCAAGTTTCAATAATAGGCACTTGTGAGAACCTTATCAAAAGCTCTTTGATAGTCTAAATAAATCATATCCATGCTGTGAGAAGATGGGACCCAGGAAAAATACAAAACCTTGGCAGATACAAGTGTTGTCTTGTTATTTAGTTGCCAACACTTTTATAACTTCAAGAACCACAAAGTTAAGTTATTGGTTTCCTATGTCCTAAAACTTTTATTTCTTGATAAATTCTGTTACAGAATTCTGGGGTGGAAAGACTTTTTAGCAGCATCTGTAACAGATTAATTTCTACTTTTTTCTCTTTGGGGTGAATTAAATAATCTGTCACCTTCTTCTCTCTATTCTTATATCCACAGAAGTTGGAATTTCAGCATTTTGGATCCCGTAAGGTTCTTATGTCTTTGTTCAGACTTAATAAGGAATAAGGAATCAAACTACAAGGAAGAGGCTAGAGAGTAGTCTTAAGAGAGGAAATTTGATAGGGGAGGTCACATCCTCGTAGGTCCTGGTGTTGAAACACAGACCACAGAGAGAGCCCTTGTTGTTCGGAGGCCAGGTTTCATGCTCTCTTTTGCTAGTGTGTTGACATTTTTTGGTGCTGTCTTGTGGTAGGCAGTTTTTGAATCTTTTCCAGTTCAAGTCTCTTTTCCTCCATGGTGGATCAAACAGTGGTGACCAGGGAAGATTAGGATATGATTCAGTCCCATTTATAACCCTGTCATTTGTTTTGTTGAACAAATGTTACTGGATTCATCAGTATGTTCAGTGCTCGGCTTTCAGAAATCTCTGAGTGTTTTAAAATGTATTATTTTCACTATATGATTCTATGTTTTTCCAATATTCAGAATGTTTAGTGTCTCTGTTAATTATAGGATTAAATCTGGTCTTTCTGTCTGACATGATGGTCTTCCACAATCTGACATGACCTTTCCTTTTCATCTTTTCTCAATATAAAGCCCCTGCTCAAGCCACACACTCCCATATGGTTTTGCTTGTTCTCTCTCTGTAATGCTTCCCAGACTTACCATTACTCTGCAAAATAGTCATGCTTCAAGGTCAGTTCTAGAGCTTCATGAAACCATCCTCAAATGTCTCCATTGGGTTCCCAGTCAGAAGACAGCAACCTTAGGAAAGAAGGTATCCTTTTGGTGCCTTGGATCCAGCCTATCAGTTATCAAACACAAACAGAACCAATGTTAGTTGTTGTTGGGAATGATATTGTTAAAGGTCTGCTCAATACATTGTTCCTTTCATTTCATAGTCATCTCCGAACTTGTAAATCACTTTAAGTTTGTTTCCTAATACCATAGCCACATTAGCTCCCAACCAAAAAGAAGGCAGGGGGAAAGGAAGGAGAGGAACCATCATTTATTAGATGCCAAGTACTTACCAGATAAGTATTATTATTATTCCCATTTTACAGATGAAAATTCTCAAGTGTAGGGAGGTTAGTCTCAAGGTCACACACATAGTGAATAGTTGGAAATGGGATTCAAAAGGTTGTACCTTTTCCATATATCTGTATTGCCTCCCTGAAGTGGCACATGAAATATTATTGTGTCCTTGTTTGTTTATTCACTCAATAGACATTTATTGAGCACTGGGGATAGAGAAGTGAATGAAACAGACAAAGTAATTTGGTGAAAAACAATGCAGGGAAGGGAAATGAGGAGTGCCAGAAGGTGAGTGTGAGGCTGGCTATTTCGTTTAGGCTGTCAGGGAGGGCCTCTCTGATAAAGTGACATCAAGAGTCCTGAGGGAGATGAGAGAGGGAGGCCAGCAGATATGTGGGGGAAGCTTTCTAGGCAGCAGGTGCATGATGGGGAGTTTAAGGAGCGGCAAAGAGGACAGCGTGCCTGGAACTCAGGGAGCAAGAGGAGGAGTCGGGGGAGGTGGGTGTAGAGAAAGAGCTGGGTGGGGG